CGGAAGTTTCAAATATGCCATCATGAAGACATCTGAGTTCCAGTTTACACCAAGTTTATATCTCTGTGCTCCTCATCAGTGTCACTGGAGGTTCAGCCTATCGCTTTCCACTCTAATCAGAGGGTTGTCTGTCTGTCATCTTATCATAGCTGGTGTCGCTGTCTGGCACATTTGCTGGCTACAGCAATACTTGAATGCAGGACAGGTGCAGCTTCCAGAATCCAAAGATATCAAGGGCCTTTGTGTGATTCTTGTGGATCAACATCTATCTAATTTTGGAACCCTTTGAAGAGAAAGTTCCAGGACTCAAACACAGATCAGGTTTCTGTTCTAGAGTAGCTCTTCATCGAGATTTCATCTTGCAATTGTCACTCCCGGTCCTGGAGATCAACAGCCCAGCAGGTTTACAGCTGAGCTCAAGTTCCTCAATGTGTAGAGACTTGGAAATAGGTACAAGTCAGGCTTGTAAAATAAGTCTTTAACAACACAGCTCTATCACTGTGAAATGTGCCCATTTTAAATGCAGAGCCATGTGGAGCATCAGAATAAGTAAGCAGATGTTAACATCTTGCTGTTAACATATTAACATTTTTGCCCAGTGTTTGCCTAAGGCCTGGTGTTCAGGTGAAAACAGTGTTCAGGTGAAAAAGTATTTCTTTCATAAATAGCCGGTTACATGAGAACGATGTATTTAATTGATCTGAAGATCATAATTCAGCAGTTTCATGGAAAAAAACCAGGGTATCAGCATCAACAACACAGCTAGATCGCTTGTTCCACATCCCTGCAACCCATTGGGTATAAAAGCTTCATCTTGTCTTGCCAGTGTGGCAGGATCGAACCCGCTGAACCAGGGGACGTGAGCACTGTCCTCCGAGATCCACCTGCTGGGTGCTTGCGCTTTCACACGACCCAGAGAGCTCTGTCTGGGGCTGTGAAGCTGTGGCTCCTGGTTTCAATGACACTGTGGTGCAGGACAGCCGCTGATGACCGTGTGAGCAGGCCGCTCCACGCAGCTCCACACGGATCTTCACAATATTCACAGTTTGAACAGTCGAGAGCAAAACGCCACACCAGAACGAACCTGCTCTCTGAGGAGGTGTACCGGCCCGGTGCTGGCTGAGACGCCGACTGGGGGCACATAGGAGGACTCTGTGGGAGGGCTGGAGCTGTGCCAGCTTGTGTTGGGAATTTTCTATTCGGGATATCTGCAGCACAGTATCCGAGGGACAGGAATCCCGCCGGAGAGCTGAGGCGGAGCACTCTGGCCAGCCGCCCGGATACCAGGAGCATCCTGGAGTGGGTGTGTGGCTGGGACAGGTACACGCCAGCAGAGCACAGGCCATGAAGGAGGGTGGAACTCGAGGAGGGAGACAGGGAGACAGGGAGACTGTGTGGGCTGTGGCCTGGCAGCGGTGCCAGCGGTCCAGGCCCGGCTCGTGCTGGGGCTGGCTGAGGGCCAGGTGTGAGGATCACACACCAGGGTTACGCTCTGCAGGTGGAATCTGTGTCAGCAGCTAAAGAGAAAATGTGGCAGACAGGGCAAGTTTACATGAAAGCCAAAACATTTAAAGAACATTTCTGGTGGAATTCTGCCTCTGAGGACACTGGTTGTCAACAGCGCTGCAGATACCTGCTAATATCCTTCAACTAAGAGAAAACCAAGCATGTTTCCTCTCAAGAGAAAAAAGGAATTGTTTTCCAAAAGCGGGAAAGCACTTAGAAAGGATCTTCATATTTATTGTGTTAATATAGGAACACTACTGTATGACACAAGTGGATGATGTGCAATTAATCTTTCTTTATTTGAGCTGGATATATAAATTTCAGATGGCTTACTGCCTATTCAGACTTCCTGAAGGTTTTAAACAATGTTTTTATTTTCAAATAAACAAAGCAAAACGGATTGCTACAATTGCTGCTTGGCTAAATTTATCAGGCATCAGCTTGACTCCTGGGGCAATGCGGAATTGTTAACGGGGTTGGGCGCATGAGTCAGACCGTGCTGATGTGTCAACACAAGAAAGAAAACAAAAATCCCAAAGTGTTTACATGATCCAAATGATCATTGCTTTTAAAATGGAAATTGAAACTTCAAATCTTGTCCAG